CTCCGCTACTGCTACTACTACTACTACTACTACTACTACTACTAGTACTACTTCTACTGCTACTACTACTACTGCTACTACTACTACTACTACTACTATTACTACTACTACTACTACTACTACTACTACTACTACCGCTACTACTACTACTACCGCTACTACTACTACTACTACTACTACCGCCATCACCACCCGTCCTCCCTCCTCTGCTGCTGCTCCTGCGCAGATTGTGCGGAGCGGAGCGATTGGAGATTTACATCCACATTACTGTTCGCGGGCCAAGCCAGCTTCAGGATGTGACCGTTTCGTACTTGCGTGCAGTGTTAGCCACAAAATGCCCTCATCCGCAATCTGCATCCGACCACATCATGTTCCCTGAACCCTAAACCCTAAACCCTGAACCCGAAACCCTGAACCCTAAACCCTAAACCCTAGACCAAAAAAAACCCTAGACTCTAAACCGCTGACCCTTCCGCCTAGGTCGCCGCAGGCTACGAACAAGTGCAAGTGCATGCACGGTAGTGATTATCACACATGTGTCGGCAACCAAGTCTGGGGCAGGATGCAGACGGCAACTTCAACCAGGCCTGTCACTCTCCGTTGGATGAAGCATGAGTGGCGAAGGTTCGTGTGCGAAATTATCCTTACCGCACCCCAAGCATTGGTAGCAGCTTTGCCGCTACATCCCAGAAGCTTCCTCCCGCTCCGAAGTCCGAAACCATCCGAAACTTTTTGTTTCCTGAAGAGGCCCTCCAGTGGCTTTGCACCCACGGGGACGCAAAGTGAACTGGCTGAATTACCGATGGTCTCCGCATGCTGCACTCAGGGTTGTTCGAAGGTTTGCCCATCGATGCACACAGCAAGTATGCAAGGGGCAGTGCCCTGTAATATGCTGGAATGGTGAAGCTGTCGGTGCTAAAGTTCGACGAGAGGTTCAGCAGATCCCAATCTGCTAGCTCCCGATCTCTACATGTGAACTGTGCAAGTCTCAGACCAAGCAACATGTCGAAGGATCACCAGCCACCCGGCCGTCTGCTTGGCTGCTGACACAGTTTGGTTTCGCTTCGCCGTCTTCTACTTCATTCTGGGAGACTTGGCAAGCGTGTGCTCAAACTGGTACTGCACATCCTACCTTGGTGGTGGGTGAAGGTAAAGCCATTTGAAGTCGCTTGTTAAGGTGAAGGGATTCGAATTTCCAGCTTGCATAGTGCTTCAGGACGGTTCTACTTCCTGCTCACGGCCTTGGTCTTTGCCACCAGCCAAGCCTTTCTCTTTCATCACGATTATAAGGAGACCTTCGAGGACCGAAGCTGTCGCACACCGAATCTCTTCTCTGTTAGAAGGTCCAACGCTGCACTGCGTTCTACTCAGCAGAAGCTGTACTTTCCAAGCTGGTCCATGAAGCCGGTATGCTTCTTCAGTGCCAGTGCCAGCCCCTCAAGCCTAAGTCCCATGCTGAACCTGCCCAGTGAGCCGTTGTCTCACATAGGAGAATATCGCCACGCTCTGCTGCCGCGTCTTTATCTATCTGGGCTGCTTACCATCGATGATGTTCAGCCTCACCAGGCACTGCGGGGGAGTGCGAGGTTGCTCTGCACATCTTGTTCTCTTCCTCAGGAAGCTGTACGGCGACTTCAAGCAGGGATCCATCACACATTTCTGTGGAGCCGCGGCTGACAGGGGACCTTTTTTGAGCGCTCGGCCGACAAGTCTCCCCGTTGCTGTTGCTCTCGCTGCGCCCGCCTAGGAAGATGCTTCCCGATACCTGACAGCTTGAAGAGCTTTCAGGTGGTGTCCAGCTCAGCAAGGGATGCTTGGAAAGGTGTCTTGAAAGCTTTAAGCTGTGAGGTCGGTCAGCTTGGTCTGATGTGGACCTTCGTTTTCATGTTGCTCAGCTTTGACAGCTGGCTAGATTACCGGAAGAAGGTGAGGCTTCTTGTGCAAATAACCGACTCATCAGCCTGTTCGCAACAATGGCATGAGCAAGATGCTTGTACACTCAAGCGTTGAGCTTCGCAAACCAGGTTTGCCCTGGAGCCCATTACTTACTGTGTCAACTCCCGTGCGGCCTCGTGCCTCGGAGGCAAAATTTGATGGTTTTGGAGCTGGCGGGCGGGTCTTCAGGGTGGGGTAAGTCGGCCATGGCACCACGTGATTCTAAGATTTGGAGACAGGATTCTGCTCTCAACGCGTGTCAGACAGTCTTGACCTTTATTGGTGTAGGCGCCGACAGAGTAGTGGCACTCACTTCGGTCTGGGCAGCAAGCCGCTTGAAATGTTTGCTGTCTAGCTCCGACGCTACACTGCAGACTAGTGCAGGCCTAGACTCATTTGACTTTCAATTCACACTCATATCCCAGGAACTATGAGCTGTTCTCGGTGCTTTGTCCCGAGGGACAACAGGTCGGCGAAGTGAATCCGCGGCAGTCTAAAAGTCCGGCAATGACGGGTCCCGCACAAGACGAGAAGCCCGAGCAGTGAGGTTTAGGATTCCGCACGCTGCCGTACGCTTGAATCGCAGTCGTCTCGATTTCGTTGAAATAAGAATCTGTTCTGCGGGTGCTGCAGATCATGGACGTCTACTCCATCCTGAGCTCCATTGCTCTGCTGATATACTGGTCGCCCGGAGAATTCGAGGGCCTTTGAGTTTGGCTTGGGGGCTTTGGACAGGCGGCTTGCTAAACAAGATATCAGCGGGCATGCTTCTTCCTCTCGAGGTTCCTCCTTACCGATTTCAGCCTCTTGTCCATGCGCGTGTCGGCCTTCTTGCTGGTTTGCTTCTACCTGATCTCCGAGGCCGAAAGACTTGTTTGAAGGCTTTCAAACGGAACACGGATGAACGGGAGCATCTCCAGAAGGATAGATCTCTTGCTCAAGTGGCCCCGGGCTCGTTGAGGTGGTTCCGGTGTGAAGCGGGATGCCTGATCCGAAGCGTGATGTTGTGTGGTCTGTTTCCTCACATTTAGGTAAAGCCGACATACCGCGGCCAACCTCTGATCCCATGAATGCATGCGTGGCATGATCATAGCCAAAAGTCGGCGTGAAATACGCAAACATGAAGATATTCGAAAAACAAACCGCTAAAGCAAGTGGAAGCCTGAGCAGCAGCAGCTGCTGCTGTTGCTGCTGCCGCTGCTGCTAGGGATCACAGACGGCAAGAGTAGAGCTCGATTGTAGGTGGTTCTCTTCGTCCTGGCTTTGACCTTTCTGATCTTGGCCTTCTCCACTGCACCTTGCTTGCACCGGAAGACGGGGGGGCTCCATGCAGCCCTTTCTGCTCTTAGCTGTTGAGGCCATCTCAGCATTGAACCACCACATTGAAGACTTCGAGACCGTTGCGCCGGCTGCAAAGCATAGCAGCATATCTATGAACGGTGTATGGTCGAAGCGCAAGGCTTCTAGGACACAAGGGAAAGATCGCAATGCTCGCCCGACCGTCGTTGCCTGAGGTTCCCGCTTGGATGCGCGCTCTCCTTCAGATTTCTTTGGGTATGTTCCCGAATACGCATCTGTCCGGCACTAGCAATTCTCGCGGACAAGTTGCGATTCGGCAGCCGTTGTGAGGTTTGCACTCGAGGGCTCGATATGTAGGAAGCTAGTATTAGCAGCAGCTAGCACCACTAGATGTGAGGAAACGTCGCTCGGTCAGCATAACATAGGCAACAGTCCGAGCCTCCTTGCCTTTAAACTGTGGCCGCCTACGAAGGCATTACGACGACTTCCAGGTGGAGGTAACTGTGCTGGTGCGCCCTTGGCCTTTACCTTTCTCTGCAAATGACAGCACCTTCGATGTGCCGGCATCGGGCAGGTGGGAGGGTTGCTGACCAGGTGGCCATCTCCGTGTTTGTCGCTTTAGTCTTCATCTTCTTGGTGTGACTCGGCCTGGCTTCAGACTGCGGCTCGTGCCGTGACGGCTACAGCGTTTTCCCGCAACAGGAACCGCATCCAAGGAATCTGTTGATAGCGCAGCTCAACCAGGCATACCATAACATGTTTGAAGACATCTACGGCAACGCGCGCCTCACCCGAGCTGCTGTTGCTAGGCGGCACGAAGCCTTGCCGCAGCGACTGCAATCAAGTGCTAGTCCGTCGATTCCAAGCCCGTTTGTTGCTGCCTTCCTCTGCAGGTTATCGTCCAGGTCATGGCCCAGGCGCGGATGCATGCAAAACTGCATGTCGCTTTGAAGCCCGCAAGCAACCCTTCTGAATGGACTTGCGTTCCAGCACTCTGACAAAGCATTGCGTTTGGCATGTTTGAGAGAACTGGATATCTCCCAATCTGCACCATGCTGACGGCACGCTGCTTGCATAAGCTACATTTACATGTCATCCAGCAGCCATGCTAGCTCTGACCATAGAGACATCCGGCGATGGTTGTACCTTTGAAGCTGAGGTGCCACGAAAGCGCTGGCAGAACTTCCTTAACAACCTCGCTTTCGATCAGCCGCTAGAGTTCAACGAAGGCGGGCACATGGCAATCGAAGGGGATGGGTTTGTCTTACCCCGCAAGTACGCAGCATCGAGGCTCGAATCGCCTGACGCTCGCTTGAACAGGTGACGTGGGAATTGCTGGAGGCATTCAAATTCTGGAGCCTGCGCGCCTTGCCTTGTTGTTGGCCCGGCAGCTCGTTCTGCTTTCCCGCGTCACGGAAAGAGCAGGCCCTTCGGAACCGTATGCAGAACCCCCGAAAAGAGTACTGAGGGTGCGTGATGGTTGTAGAAGCATTTAACAATATATATCAGGGAAGGATCGAGGCTGTGAGAATAGACCAGGCTAAACTTTGTTCCGCACCGAACATGCCAAGGAGCGCAAAAATCGTCACCTCGGACGCTGTGAAGCGTACCCTGCTGCAGACGGGGCAGTAATGTCGATCATAAGATCATTGCCAGCAAGGGCTCGTATGGGGCTATTTAGATACTCGAAAGCCGTATGGCCGGGCAAGCAAGTGTGCAGGTTTCGGGAGACAGACAAAGAGCTTTGCAGGCTTTATGGCGATGGCGGGTTGCGATTCGATATTTGGGTCGGCCGCAGGTTACGGCGGCTCGACAGCTCCGACAATGCCTTGGCCAGTTGAGGCTCGTAGACACAGACACAGATCCTGTCAGCTCGTCTCATTGAGAAGCAAGAAAGCCATTTGCGACAGGAGACAGCCAACCTCACCGATGAGGATCGCTTCGATCGTCTGGAAAAGATGAGTCTTGCCAGCAGCGAAGCATAAAGCCGACGTCCCAAGTGTTCACTGCAAGGCCGGAGGTTTGGCAGCCGTTGACAGGAAGTGGCTACTGTCGAGTTTCTTTTCCAAGGATTGCGAAGGTGACTTCAGCCAGGCTCAGCTCGCCGAGTCGCCGCGTCGTCTCCTCTCGGCTTGCGACAGCCCACTCCCTGCATGCAGTACTCCCTCTGTCAGGGGCAAAGATCGTCGAAGAGGAGGCTCCGCTGCTGGATCAAAGGCAAAGAGCGGGCATGACGGGGTTCAGGGTCACCGCTCGCAGCCCACCTCGTGCGAATTATGAGCGTTGTAGCCACAAGGGGTCGCATCAGCCAAAGGTCTGTGGGTGCCGGTGTATTAGTCAATTTGGAAGTTTGGCAACGTGCCGTCTGGAAACGTTCCATTTTGAGCTTGCTTTGCAAGTGCTTGGGCTCTTCCGGTCGAACTTGTGCATCTCCAGCATCAGGCAAAGATGCCTTGTTTTCATTACCTCAATCAGCCGAGTCCGTGGCCAGCCATCCCCCTACGCCCTACTCAAACCTCCGTGTCGGTTTCTCGGTAAAGCGGGAAGTTCGGGTGCGGTTTTCCTGTGTGCGTGCACACCAGTCTCAATCCCAACACTGTGCCAACACTCCATGCACATCGGTCAAGTAAGCCGACATGTTCTCCATCAGGTCGTGCAGACTGCACGAGAGTACGGCTATACATGCGGAGACAGCACGTCACTTTAAATCTGCAAGATAAAAGAGTTCATACTGTCGCTTCGTACCTTGCCTTCCTTCCAGTGGAAGCAACTACAGAAATCTCGTGGGGCTTTCCACCATTTCGCACATCGGCAGGCGAGCCACATCGGCTCTTCCAAGGGCAGCTCCAGCAGCGCCGCTTCTTAAGGTGGGGCCTCTGGTGCGCCAGCGCCAGGATCCGAAGATGTCTCAAGTCGAATCTCCAGTCAAGAGCACAGGTGACCTACGCTGCTGTTCGGTGAGAACAAGGTATGCAGGTCGTTGGTGCAGGTGGGACTAAGCATGATCATAGTTCAATGTGAACATGGTAGTTGATCTTGCCAAAAATCCATCACCTGAAACGCGAAAATTCGGTGCATGTTGCGGTGCTGCAAGTTAAGCCATATCAGCGGCAACGCAAGGCCGAGGTATTCATGTGAAAGCAGCAGATGCAAGCATTCGGAGAATACGGTGGCGGGGACCATGTGAAAATCACACTGCCTCCCTGGTCATTGCTCGAGGGCTGTAGGCGTCTGTCGCGGCCTGCGGGGGATTTAGCAGGAGATTTGCTTGTTTGAACAATTTCGCGGCTTCGGAGCCGGAATCACTTTGAAGCCTGGATGTGTCAGAAACGCTCGGTGTCAATCGTCGCCGGCTTCAGAAGTCACCAAACGCAAGAGAAGCTTGAAGCATCCCAGGCTTCAAAGGATTGTTTATGTTTTTCATTTTTCATCGACAAGGTTTACGAGTTTGGCTTGATGCAGTCCTGACAGAGGCAGGCTGCCGGATTTCTAAAGCTCCCGTCTGGGAAGATGGGTGCTGCAACGTGACGGAACCCAAAACCCTTTCGGGCAGGCCGAGGGCCTCCGAGGGCCTCCGGTGCCCCCCAAAAGCTTCAACGATCAGTTGCAGTGCCGACTACATGTGTTGCATTGCAATTCAATTTCTGTCCCTGCACCAAACTTTGACCAGCACAAATGAACAAAGCGCCATTGACAGGTCTGCGATGCCTCCATGCTGTAGCTTGCATTTTTGCTACGATGAGATTCGTGTTGAGAAAGTGGCAGGCGTGATTGGGGTCGGTGTAAAATCGGATACCCGCCGAGCTGGGCAGGGTCTTCTGCGAACTCAGTCGCTCGCAGCGTTCCCCGTTAGACTTCAGATCAGACATGATCCGACTCTGCTGAGCAGAGAAGACCCCGAGTGACGAATGCCTTTGTGCCCATGAAAGAGGTGGCAGTTGGTCCAGATGTCAGACGTGCACGAGACGGCAGTTAGAAGATCTGAGCAGACGTTGGGGCTTCCCGAAGTCGGTCTTCGGTGAACGTACGTTTGCAGCTGTTGATGAGGCAAGCTTTCTGAACGCTGCAGACGAAGCTGCTGATTCAAACGCAGCCGCTTGGATGGACGACGTGTGATTTGCAGCTGGGTTTGTCTGGCAACAGAACTCGCGTGGTCTAAGCATGTCTAAGCAGCTCTGAGGTATCCCCTGGTGTTCGCAACAGTTTTGAGTGTGGGGTCGGCACGTTGAAAGTGTGGAAAGAGTGTCTGGCAGTCCCGAGACTCGCTTCTGTCCGGTCCGTGCATGTCCATAGGACTGTCCTGCTGGTGACTTCTGCAGTAACTTCCAGGTACCGTGCATGGGCAACTGCTAGCTGCGCTCTGTGTCGAAGCAGCGAGGCCTCCATGACCGTGGAGGAGGAAGGCAAGGAAGTGCTGGAGGAGGCACCGCTGGAGATGGCAGAAGATGCTGATGGTGGCCCTATAGAGAAACGCTAAAGTGGCGACGTTTGGGCCAAGGGCCCGCAGCGTAGCAAAGCAGATCTGAAGACAAGTCTGGGAAGTGAAAACGTTGCGATCAGAAGTCGCGCGCTAATTCTCTACAAGCATTTATGCGACTTGCAGGCCCGTGCTGCTGAAACAGTGGCGAAACGCTGCTCTGCTGGAATGGTTCGTAAATAAGCACAGCCCAACCTAAATATCATTTCCTCGTCCGGATGCAGCACCTGCTCTGATACGAACACGTAGTTTCTAAATGTCACTTCGGATGACCGTCAGGCAAAGCATGCGGTCGCAGCCATGAAACAACTCCTTGTGTCAACCCTACCTCCTCGCTTCATCACCAGCTTGCAAGCAGCGCGCTCAAGCTCAGTCAGACTCCGGAACAGAAAGCTGTGCAGCACAGCGACCAGTGTAGAAGTGCCAGGAGGACCGCCCTTGCTAAGCATCACATCTATCCAGGTCAATGCTCTCCTGTCGGCCTTCCGAAGTCCAGCAGACAGCGAGCCCACAGCAGGTTGTTTTACATAGTGTGAGTAGATGGGTTTGCAAGCCGGTGGGCACACGCTGGCTGAGGTGCCGTACGCTTCGCTTGGGTTGGATGCTGAGTGACGGGTGTTTCCATGGTCTGGGGACGGTTGCTTTGGCGCTTCGCAGCCGAGTTGAAACGCACAGCTTTTCATGAGTTCCTTTGCTTCTTGGTGCTTGGAGGGAGCGGTCTTCATTTGCGGCATCGGCGTGAGCATTGATATCATCGGGGCGAGCTTGGACTACCGGGCGACTTCTCGAGCCAAGGAACACTCCGAAGTTCTTTTAACAAGAAGTTTCAGGGATCTAAAGGTCCTGCTTGCCAGAAGATCAGTGGCAGACCTTTCAGGTTGCTCCGTCTCTTTTATGAAGTTGTTTGCACCGGGGTTTTCAGCACTCCGAACAGGTTCTGTTCCACCGAGCAGGTTCTGTTTCAGGGGTGCAAAGCTCGTCTTGTGGCATCGGACCAAACGTTTTCTCAGGCAGTCACGTACCTCTCGGACCTGACAGAATAACTGTACTAGTGTTTGTCGTCTGCCGACGAAACAACCTCGGATTCCCTCCTCGCTCCCTCCCCTCCCCTTCTCCCTCCCGTCCCTCACACAACGGCACAGCGTGCTCCTGACACACAGGAGGACCTGGACGAGGAGGAAGCCGATCTGGAGGCACGAATCTCAGGCTTCTGACTTTGCTAGTGGGGCTCCTTCTGGTCTTCATGCAACGGTTTGCAGCTCAAGGCCACGGGTTGGCCACGCTGGCTCCACCAAACGGAGGCCTGATGCATCAATGCACCGGCACGGCCCAAAGAAGGACCGTGAATCGCGACTCTCCCCGGCTGAGCGCAGCCCGCAACGGGTGTGAAAAGGAGCTGCCTCCTAAGCCTGCTGGTGCTGCTCATACTGGTAGCAGAGCAGCTGAGCACACTGAGATCTTTTGAGCCGGGGTGGTCACAACCTTCCGCATCAACTGCCACAGTGGACACAGGTGGACTACACGAACTGGCAGGGAGCGTGGAACAAACTTCAGGACAATGCCACTTTGACAGCAACACCCAGCCTTGCCCCAGCATCCCGATAGCACCAAGCGACAGGCCAAATGTCCCGCATCCACACCATGAGCAGTGAGATTGTGTGAACAATCACTCCATCAGCCATCACATTTTCGATGCTGCTATTGCTGAGTGGGAGTAAGGTAAACTGCTCTTCTCAGAGTGGACAGGAGGAAGGTGCTACGATTTGGTCGGAAAGTAGCGTTTGCGGGTTTACGGTTGTTCACCAAATTCGCTCGTTTCGGCTTAGCATTCTAGCTCAAGAGCGAGCATGGACACCTTTGCTGGCCATGCCCTCGGTCGGACAAAGTGGGTCTTTTGGTTTTAAGCCTTGGCCCTGCTCAGATTTGGAGCCCAGCCAGCTGTCGCAGCTCGACAGCGCGGCTCCATGGGTGCTGAGCCCCAGCGGGGGTCCTCGGCGCTGCAGGGGATTTGGCTCTCTCGTCTAGGCGACGTAGACGGGAGACCTGCAGGTCGGCGCGCCACTGGCATGGGCCCGGGTGCGTCCCCACAAGGCGCCTGGGTTTGAAGCTCCGCATAAGCCTTGCGCACCATCTGTCGTGCTGGTGACTCCTGTCAGTTGAGGCCTTCGACTTCGTAATGCCGAGGAAGCTAGTAGACCGCCGCTGTTTCCCTGTCCGTCTGCGACTGCAGAACGCCTGGCGCAGACGGCCTTGACCAGCTCCTATCCAAAGCTGGAAGGCAAGCGGGGTGACAGCCGCAGTGAAATTCAGGGTTCGGTCTCATTCGGTTAGGTCCTCATGTCCTCGGAAGGACACATCAGTAAACTTCAGGACCTAAGTGTGGTTCTCTGTTCATGGCGGTCCTCAGATTTTGATTCTGCTGCCCGACCACCCCAGCTGGCTTCTTGGACTCGGAGGTCTGCAGCCTGAGCCGGCCCCTTCCCTGACTGGCAGCACGGCACTTGGTTCCCCGGCCAGAGGTGTCTCCGCCTGTCTCTCGCGATAAAGGTGTCCAGCAGGTTCCCTACCAGACGCTGCTGGCCGGGCAAAGCCTGTGGCCAAGAGCCTCGTGGTTTGTATAGCAGTTTAGAGTCCAGGATTGAAGATCCGAGGCCCCAGGCCGTACTACAGCTACACGGCACCGCCTCCAGCACCGCCGGCAATGCTCGCCAGTGAAGGTCTCAGGAGCCGCGAGCACCACGGCATACAAGCCATGTTTGCGCAGTGTTCTATCTCTGATCCTTGGGGGTTTGCTTTAACTTTGCAATCTGTTGGGGGTTCCTTGTGTCACACGATGTCCCACGTGGTCTCAGGGGGCCAGCCGTCTGCTTACGTGCAGCCCTGCGCGGGGCTTGGCCGTTCCAGCGCTTCGCTCCAGCGCCCGCGTCCCTCGGCCCTTTGAAGGTTCCACTAGCTATCGGTACGCGCCCAGCGTGCCGAGCAGCGGGGCGCCGAGCTTCGGAACAGCACTCAGACTGTCAGAGAGAGTTGTGCAACCTCCGCCCCTCTCAGGTTACCGGGAAGCGACTTCGAATCTCGGCAGCTTCAATGTGCCAGCGACGCCGGCAGAAGTCGCCGGTGCACTCCGCAGCTGCAAACCGACGTTCGTATTCGCAGGATCCGTCCGATGGCACCCTCCGATCCCTGGTCACTTCGTGCAGGCGCTCCCGTGCGCTACTCCCTGCCCGCTGCCGCTGCCTCCAGCCCGACGCGCTGGAGCCCAAGCTTTGCGAGGAACGGGCACCGGGCATCCGAACTAAGGGTGCGGAGTCCATCTGTGTACTCAGAGTGCCCAGAGTAAGCCGATGCTCCCAGACTGCTCAAAGATGTGCGAAGCTGAGGACATCCAGGGCCTCCCACCGAGCCGGTTCAGTGCCGCTCCCGGAGCTGTGACCGTTGGCGGCGTAGAGCAGGATCGAGAGACCCTGTCCCTCTTTATTAAGGCTTCCGGTCCCGCTGCAGCCGGCCGTTGCCTGGCACAGAAGCGAAGCCTTAGCTAAGCAAATCTTTTTTGGCCGAATATTCGCTTAAGGGCTGGGCATGATTCGTTTTTCCTCAGGCCGTGCAGTCGGGCGAAGTGCAATCGACGGTAGTTCCCGATCTGGCAGGGCCTGAGCCTGAAGTCACCTCGGACAAGTCTGTTGCTTCGATATGTTTTGACATTGACCCCAGACAAATTGTGAGACGGCAGGCCTGCAGCGTCTCTTCGTTCGCTAAGCCGCTAAGAGCTCACAGCCCTGTCCTTTGAGGCGACTCCGGTCTGAGCTGCCTCGCGCGGCATTGCCTGCCAGCCAGGCGGGTGCAGTGGAAGAGCGCTGTGGAATTTGGTTTTCGCAGGATCTTCACCCTGCACTGCAGTCAGCTTTCAGGTGCTCACAACCGGACAAAACGGGCCGACATCTCAGAGTCGTGTGTAGCGTGCTGCCATTTGTTTCAATGCCGTTCTGGCCGGGTTCAAAACTGTATGTTGATTTGCGCAGAACCGAGCAAGATTGCATCGACATCCTTGCAAGGCTGTGATGTTCTCAAGTGTTTTGATTTGAGGTAGTCTTAAGCTGGGACGAGAACGGTATCTCGCAGTGACCGAGTGTGTCTTGAGCCCTTGCTCTCCCAACTCCTACCGTAGCGGCTGGCTGAATCTAATCTGACCCGGAAGTGAAGCCTTCGCTGATCGCTGCATTGGCTCGACCCTGACATGCGGGTACAGTAGCTGATGCAGCTCGTGGCCCTGGGACCTCATGGGTCTTGCACCATGTGAGCTCAGGCTGCCTGCAGTCTCAGCGGCGAGAGCACCCATCAGTTTGCCGGGTGTTGTGCCTTGGCTGTGAAGGGCAGGTGGCTGGAGGATTCGAAACCTTTCCGATCGCAGAAAGCTGCGGTGACGCGAAGCCAGGTGCAGAACAAGCTGGCGGCCTCGCTGGCGACCTCTCAGCTTGTGGCTACAGAGTGGAAGCCTCAGCTCAGAGTCAGAGCCAGGGTCCTAAACGTGCTTCCTTGCACCTTGGCAGGTCTTCCAGCTTGGAGCGCGTAGAGAAGCCGGCTGTAGAGGCCTGGGTTTGTAAAAGCGCCAAGGACAGCTAGAGAAGGCGGTGGGAAAGGCGGGCCAGCATGGAGGTCTGAACGTTTACCTTACCTGAAGAGATCACCTGTTGAACAGAACATGCCACAGCCCGTCGCTTGGGAGCAGGTTCTCTCGCCGGCGAAGGTTCTCTCGCCAGCACACGGACTGCTGCCGTGAGCCCACCAATTTGGGCAGATCAACTCGCTTCAATTCTGCGCCTGTCAGAAGTATGATTTTTTGTACATGTTCAGCGGCCGTGGCTGCGAAGTGTGGCCAGGCGGGGAGACGGAGATTTCTCGAAACCCGAGGCGAACCGACCTTGGGATTCAACTTGGTGGCGATCTGCCAAAGGCAGGATGTTGAGTTTGGTCAGGGAGGTCGTATCAATAGCAGCTCATGCTGGCGAAAGTTTGAAGGTGTTTCAGGAGATAGGCCGAGAAAGTGATCCTGCGTGCAGGGGCTGACATCGCCAGAGGCTAAAGCGGTGCCCGGATCTTAAAGACGTGCTGTCACTGTTGTCTAAAGAGCTTGCCAGACCGAAGGGACAGTGCGGGCAAGACAATCATGCAGGGGCCAATTCAGCCACGACAGGACTCTTGAGCCTTCGATGTCGAGGTTTGCTTCTGTGATGTGCAAGGGCAGCGCATCACGTCTTCGAGCCGTTTGAAGTCAACTTGAGGCCGAGCTACGCAGCGTCCAACGGTAGCTCCTCCACCGCCCCTTTCTCGGGGACTTTCCTTCGTCGCAAAGCGCTTGAGCACTGCCACTGCCCTGCGATAAGCTCTGGTCTGAGGCGCGCTCGCTTGGCAGCCCCGGAAGGCTTCGCAGCAAGCTGCCTCCGGCGGATGAAGGTGCGCCACAGTAGCCGCCGCTAGCCAGAGAGAGCATTGCAGAATCGAAGTTTTGGGTGTTTGTCCTTAGTGAATCATTGAATCTTGTTGCTTCGGTGGAGGGCACTACGTATAGGTGACGGTCGTTGGCCTCATGTCAGGGTCCGGGGGCCAACTAACCACCCCGCAGGGTGGTCTGATTTCCCTTGCATGTGCATGCAGGCAGCACGAGCAGGCCAAAAGTTCAAGGCAAAAACTTGAGGGTAACTCAGAGGCGGAACGCGCTGGGCTCCGGGTTTAAGCTAATGACATTTTGCCAGTTTGGTGTTCAATTTTTTTCAGTGAGTTCTGTTGCATTTCAGTTTGCCTGGACATGCCCTGGTGCACTCACCGCTCTCATGAGCCTGAAACTAAGCACGGGTCCGGTCGCAAGACGAGAGGTGGCTCTCACGCGGCCGGGCTTTCGAAGCGCCTCTCCGCCGGAGCCGACGATGTGGTCAACACCCGGGATCGCTACAGGGGCGAGCCCAAGGCCGGGCTGCCGATATAAATATTATATTATATATATTATATATGTTATAGTATATTATGTAGTATATTATATATTATATGTATATGTATATATATATATATATACATACATATATGTATATATAATTGTTTATATGTTTGTTTAGATTCGCCGGGACTTCTAAGTCTCGTGTCTTGCCAGGCGAAGCTCGACGGTTTCTTCGACTGCTTGTCCTGCTTCTCAGGCTGACGGCTGGTCTGCTTTCGGGAGTTCAAGAGACCACGGAGAACCGTGAACTAATCATGAATTTTTGAGGTTTGTTCCAGAGGAAGAAGGAGGAGATGGAGCCCGTGGATGTCATCCTGGTGGGAGGCCGGGTCCAGGATTTATGACCATCAGGAGCCACGCCGTAAGTGTGTTCTTGGAGCTACAAGGTGGCATTATGAGTGCAACCACTGGCCTGCTCTTGAAGCAGCTGGAGCCAAGCTGGCGCATTGCGTCTTGCCTGAAGCTTCAAACCTGCGAGCATCGGCTTGACGACTTTTTGTGTCAAAGTGCATGACGTTGTTATCTTCGCTGCCCAGCTGAAGGTGATGATCGAAAGGCTGGATGCTGTTGCTCAGGACGAAGCAGACCCGGCGTCCCATGAAGTATGCAAGCTTGTGTGGGAATTTTTGCTCCTTGAGATCGTGGCAAATCTGAAATCCGAGAGCCTTTCAGCAGATTTTGCAGGAGAGCTCGAATGCCTGGAACAATGCTGGGACCGGTCACTCTGCTCTGTGCGAGCCAAACTACACTCCACAGGCAGAGTAGTTGCATTGCAGCGCGTGAGCTTGCAGGATTTTGTGCACACCGTCTGAAGCCCGAAGCATGTGCGAGGCTGGCAAGCATGTGGACATTCACAAGGCTGTCACTGCAGCTTGGTCCATTGGATGTGCGTGTGTGCGCATTTGCACCAGCAGACGGCTGAAAAAGCCCCACTCACTGACACAACCAGCTCCATTCACTCTCGCTCCGCTCGATTTTCCTCCCGATGCCGGCTCGCTCTAACTTGGGGACTTTCAGCATGCCGGATGTTTCAGCACTGCTGGCAGTTGCAAGCATGATTCGAGTCGTAACTGGACGTTGCTTCTCAGGGTCTTATCTAATGCTAGGCACGGGGGCAAGTTCAGTTGATCTTGCAAAGGGGGGGACACTTCTGATGACTGATGAGCGGCGGCATCTCAGGTCAATGAGAACTTTCAGCTCAGCCGCCAGTACTGGGCCTACTTGGCCAAGCACCTTGGGCCGATGAATTTGGTCTGGAAATCGATTAGTTCTCAGTATGGGAAAGATGGGATCCTTGCGGTATGTTACATCGGTTGTGTAGTCGCATCTCAGACCTTGTGCCAGGCACTAGGTCAAGAGCTCTAGCTGCCCCGGACACTCTGAGTACTGCGGTATGACTCCATTGCTTCAGGACTGGCTTGCTGCCTCAGCCGGAGCGATTCATCCACACCACGCCCCACATGACCTTTGCACGCGGCGAGGCGGCTGACAAGTCCAGACATGAACATGTGTCGCGTGGCATGATACATCGGGATGGGCAAGAGGCATTCACATACTCGGCTACACGGCTATGCTGCACAGTCCGAATTAGCCCAGCGCGAAGGGCACGCGAGACAGCTGTCTTTCTGTGGCCTATATGGGTCATGATTCAAGAACAGGGCGGGGGAACTGAGGCCCTGTTTGAGTGTCTGGCTCTTGGCAAATGTGGACGCAAGATAACAGTCCTCCGACATACCTGTGTCCAATGCCATCGTCGTGACTTCCAGTGTGACTTGTGCTAGGACCAGATCTCTTGGCTGAAGAAGCGCCGCTCGGTGATTGCTCTTATGTTCTCTCATCACTTCATTGTGGATCCGGGCCCATTCGCAGAAACTAGAGTATAAAATTGAGAACTTCTCCAGAGTCCAGAGCTGCTGACGCCTTCTCGTCCCTTGAGGTTTTGATGCGCTGAAAAGCCACACCCTCTTCGAAGGCGTTATTGTCCAGCAGCGCGGCGGCGTAGCATGCTTCGTTCTGAAGCGTCTCCTTGCGAGGTATGGAGTACTCAGAGGACAGGAAGACGATGGAAGAGTGGGCACCCCTCATGATGGCGGGCCGCAAAGAGACAGAGAGGCTGGAACATGGACTGGACATCATTGACCACCCACGAAGCCACTTGCCCAATCTGTGCTTCAGGTGTGCGCTCTCGCGGGTGCCCTACGGCACCGATGTCGATTTCGGCGAGCTCACGAAGGAGTGAAAAGGGCGGCGGCAAGACGTGGCGCTTGACCATCTCCCACTGTCTGGTCGCCAGGAGCTCACGAAAGCCTTCCTGGCGCTGGGGGGCGAAGTCCAGCTCAGAACGACTGTGTTGCTCGGCGGTGGGAATTCATTAGCCACGAGCTCGTTGCCAAAGTTTCGGCAAGCTGCGGGGCTTTGAAGTTGCTTCCAGGTCGGATCTTCATAAGGATGAGCCACTGAGCCGCAATGTGTGTAGGCGTCTGGTGTTCAGCCTAGGGGTTGATGTTACGTGCTGCAGCACGTGCTGAGCAGGACTGCTCTCTACGACGAATCCTGGATCGTCAGCACGAGGCAGGAGCGTCAGTGCTTCCACCCCGAGAGCTGAAGGTGAAGGGCATTCTTGGTTCGGTGGATTCGCATTATGTTGTGTAACGCATTTATGCGTGTAGGTACAGACGGTGGAGATCGACCGAAGCTATCGGCTCGATCTGCCTTTTCAACTTCTCTACTGCCCTTTCGCCTTCGCCGTCGTCATTGCTTCCTCCAACGACTTTGCTGACTTCTTGGCCGCCGCTGGTCTGAACTTGGTGGGTGACGCCAGCGCTACGACCAACGCCGATCCGCCCACGTCGGGCGACTTGGCTGGCGACCCCCAGCCGGAGACTCTGGGGTGGTGCCCCATGTCGACCTCCTGTCGACCCCTTCAACTTGCCCGACGTTGGGGTCTAGACGGAGGGTGGGATCTTCATCGCCACTTTCGTGGCAGGCGCCTCGCTTTGACGGCGGCCATCTATCCGGGCGCTGCCCAGCCATTTTGGCCCATCAGCTTCCTGGAGTCGCCAGCCATCACCGGCCAGTGATGGGCACCAAGCTGTTGCCGCTCCCGACCAGGACTTCGGCCGTCCCCTGTGGCGCAATGACAAGGCTTTCGGACCGCCCACTGTCGAAACGTGTTTTGTAGGTTGTGCCCAAAGATGGTCGGGAGCCAGCCTTCCGCCCAAGCGATGTCGCCGAAAAAATGATGGGTAGACACGTCGGACGCCCATGGTGTTAATCCTCGCCCCGCGGCGGAGTTTGAGCTCCCCGCATGCTCGTCGAGCTGATGCATAGATAGCGAAGGACAGGGCGGCGTGACCCTTGCATGGTGCGGCGGCCAGCGCATGGCTTCGTCGGCGAGTTCAACGGCACTGACAGTCACTGACACTGCCCACTTCGCGGTCACCGACTTCCTCGCCTTGCTTGGCCTGCAGACGAAGCCCTCTAAGGCACAGAGGCCGGCGCAGGAGCACATGGTGCAGGGTGTCGCCCTGTGGTCATAGGCTTACCGAGCGGTGCCAGTCCAGGATCCTCGCCCAGATCGACGACGCCATCTCAAGATCGGCTTGGTTCGGGGGACACGGCTTTTCACGTCTTCTACGACTATACCCAGGTCTTACCCTTGATCACATTCGCCAGGACTCGTTGGACGGGCGACGACTCCAGAGCACGCACGCGAGTCCATGCGCCCGTGGACGAGGTCATGCAAGTCCTCTGTCAGGCCGCCATGGACATTGAATTTGCCTGTCATGGGGCGCCGGCTGCTTGATTTAGCTGTTTGGTAGGTGCCGCCGCCTTGTGGGGTGTGGGTGCGCCGGGCTGGTGCAGAAGTGCGCACCCCGCCACCGGCACCGAGTTTTCGCGCGGTGTGCCCGGCCGGGCGCAGTTCTCAGTTCGCGCTACGACCAAAAGGGGCACTGCACCTTCCGTATGATTTAGCTAGCACGTGGTGGTCGACCGGAGCTATCGGCTTGATCTGCCTTTTCGGTCGGTGTGCCCGGCCGGGCGCAGTTCTCGCTACGACCAAAAGGGGCACTGCACCTTCCGTAGGATTTGGTTGATTTGGCGAACACCTGGTTAGCTTGACGTTTGGAGTATTTCGGGCGGAAAATGCTTCTGCGTCATAGTACTCTTATCAGAACTACAGTGGTGATTGTGATTGTGATCATGATTATGTATGTGGCTATGACGAAGATGACGACGATGATGGTGATGACGATCAAGCTGATGATTGTCAATGTGTTGTTGATGAACAGGACAGTTATACTAATATGTTGTTATCATGATGTTGACATATGTAGCCCGCAAGCCGCCCCCATGCCAGGAAGACCAACGGCCTCAGCAGCGGGTCCAAGCGGTACCGAGCACGATTCGTGTTCGTAGGCCAGGGAATTGGGAGCTTCAGTTCAGGGGTTCTGCATCTTCTCATAGCACTGCTAGACGTTCCGTTTGAAGAGCTGCCAAAATATGCATCCACTCGCATCGTAAGAAGCAGATACCCGGAAAGGTGCAGGTGGCTATTCTCTTCCAGTTTTGCAGCGATCTGGCATCCCAGAGATCCGGGGGTTCATGGGATTCCCGTGGCTCGGATGAGAGGGACAAGCAGGCAGTCTGACAGTCTTGAGCCGTGCTTTTCGGAAAACTCAGATCCGCACCGTAAGTTTCGTTCTTCCGCGTTGCATGCTTCGAAAAGCCGTCTGAGCCTGTTGAAACCTTCAGGGACAGCTGTGGTGCTGTATGGTGCAACCTAGAGAACGCATTGACATGCCGAGAAAAGGGTATCTTCGAGGTGGCAGGGCTCATTCGTTGCCTTTGACATATCCTAGGATCAGTGGCGAGTTCCTGGTGTGCCAGAACCCCGCCGCTTTGCTTGCAGGGCCCAGCCAAAGTCTCGGACCCTTTGCAAACTCCAAGCACTTAAAGAAAATAGCCTTGCAAGTCATCATCTTGAGCTCACTAAGAATTAAGAGCGCGGGCCTGCTGTTTTTGTTATTCAGTGGGGCATCATTATGGCTTGGCTTTCTCGTTTTCGACGATGCCCTAAGCATTTGACGAAAGACAGTCCTGGAAGGTCCAAGGCAGATTTGTTCCACTCGCAGTTCAGCTTCAGACTTCAGGATGTGGCCAGCAAGCACGTGAGCAAAGTCTACGGCAAGGCCGTTCTAAACACTGCCCTGTTGATTATGAGTGGAAAGCATCAGGCGCATGAAACCCACGCTTCGTTTCGGTTCGCTTTGCATTTGTCATGTCCGGTTTGGTTCTTCGCGGGCTTCCGCGATTCGATCCTCTTCAAGCGACTCGCTCAACTTTATTGTGTAGCTCCGCCTTTCCGGCAGGCTGCCATTGGCGCTCCCCCGATGTCAGCGCTTCCAGCAGAATATGTCTTGTGTGTTGTTTTTGGGGTTTTCTCGGGATCCTTGCAAAATGTGAGGGTTGTCCTTCTCGACGAAGTATGCTGAGAAGCCGCATTCACCCTCCCGAGCGGGTCCAACCGTTTACCTTCTACATGTACGTGCCTTCCTTGGTGAGGCGCTGATGTCGCTACTTTGTTCGTTACCGTCGTTGGATATGTCATAGGCCATAGGTGTTTGCGCTTCTTGGAAGCGTCGCAGTCATCCCCGGATGTCCAGCTACGGTTGCATAAGTTTCACACAGGTGCCGCACCTCGATGCCCGACGAATCGGTGGGCAGCCAGTGCTCCTCTTTGGGCCCTTCGCAGGCTTCAGTCCAAGGCAAGGTTGTGCAAGGTTGCACCCACTCCACCGAGTGCGTGCAACACGCCCCACGGCACGTGCGGCGCAGGTTTCTCAAATCCGGCTCCCTGACCGACCTCTTCAGATCAATCAGGCTCCCGATTGCCAAAAAAGGGCTACTTCGCACGCAAGTCCACCCGGTGTTCTGTGTTCAGACTCAATGGCTGTCCAGCAGATCTTCCACTCCATTCCCCCAGCCCTACGGTTCACGGCTCGCTTGCTTGTAGTGGAATCCTGATGTCCCTCAATGTCGGGGCTGGTCAGATGGAAGTTGAAGCTCCGCCACAAGCCTTGGAGGTGTAGCAACATCATCCCAGCGGCCGCAGCGGGGCTTCAGAACCTGGACCTTTCCCTGTACTTGCTGAAGCAGCAGCTTGGAAGAAAGCCTCCGAGCCCGAGCCCTTCGAAGCGGGAATGTCCTTGAGGCTCATGGCCAGCAAGTCACAGAAGCTCGCGGAACTGAGACAGTTCGTCCCAGACGCGAAGGTGGGCAGCTGCGGTAGCCGCAGCTGTAGCCGTCGCCGGCGCATCCCGGCGCCATGCTCAGGCCGAGGACTGGACCTTGGTGACCGCCGGACAGCGCGTCCAGATCATCAAGGGTGACCCCAAGAAGACAGGCAAAACGCGTGCGGCAACAGCTCCAAAAAGCCTCTTCTTGTCTTGCATGAAGGCATCCTCCAATTCGGCACCGAGGCATCCCCGCTGCTGTACCTGAAGCCAGACAGTGCGTGCTTATGCGTACTTGTAAGGTGGTTGCAGCAGAGGATGGCTCCTCGGCGAAGAAGTGGCAGTGGTGGGTTTAGGGTTTTGACAGTCGGGGCGCGGCTTTGTCACTTGGCCTTTGCTTTTACGGCCAGGCTCCCTGGCCGGGCTGCTGGGGGCCTCACCAGGGGCATCGACTGCCGTGCAGGCCCTGACTTCTGCTCCAGTTCTCTCGTCCATGCCCAACACTGGCAGGTTTCGCTCGATGTCGGGAGCCCGGAAAGAGATCCACGGCTTGTGAGAGAAGAAACAGCGCCAAGCCGAATTCTTCACTTCCTCGTTTGCGTCCTTCAGCCCCCAGTTTCTGTCTCCCCTTTTGCAAGTGCAGGGGCACTTTAGAGCAGGAAAGAGCCAAAGAGGCACGGTCAGATGTGTTGGGTCCGCTGCAAACGAGGTCTTGGCGAGCTGCTTCCCGGAGGATCTGAAGAGGCGAAGCGGGATCTGAAGCCTGCCAGTGATTCGAGGAGCTCCGAGCCCCGAGCTCCGAAATGCCCAAGCTCCGCAATGCAAGAAGCACGCGAGCCGCGAGCCTCCGAAAGGTGGGGCCCTAAACTTCGGGAGATGATCCCCAGCTTCGGCAGCCGCCTCTCCGAGGACGCTCGGTTTTACGATGTTTACGGCTCACCGAGAGAGGCCCCAACATGCACCCAAAAGCAAACACACACACACACACAGAGACACACACGGAGGTTCGTGTCGGTGCCGGTCGGATTCGAGATCGGATCGAGTCGGAGCTATGCGAAACATGCCACGGCCACTACAGCCCTGTGCAAGTGAGCTTCCAAGTCGGCCAGGACCCAGAGCTGGCAAAGACACTTCATCAGACTACGTCGTGGCTTGGACGGGTGGATTCATGTTTTGTAGCATTTCTCTAGCATGTCTTCGAAAGGAGCATAGGGCTGCAAGCAAAGTCGCAAAAGAGCGGGCTTCGGGTGAGCTCAAGCTGTTCAACCACCCTGTTCCGGGCAACTAACCTCCTGGAGTAAAGAGGGCACATTCCTACATTTGCATCCAATCTCAGCTCAGAGACTGTTTGGCTTGAAATTGAAGGTTGTCCCTTCCTGAAAAGTTTGTGGCAAGTGCCCCGATCTCATCTCGTTCGTCGTTCGGCTCCGCACGCCGCCAAGAACCTACCGAGGAATGCGTTGGGCCTGCTGTAGAGTGGGCGTGAGGGCATCTCCCTCCGCCGTGCCAATGAACGACCCCATGACTCGATTCTTGGGTCTCCCTGAATTTGAAGGGCTCCGAGACGGAGGCGGGGGGTAAACTCATCGCCAGGATAAGCGCAGGAACGGCTAAAGAACGATGTGTGCTTAGTACCGAGCACTAGTCCCTCCATAAGATGGCATGTGTGTCTTCGTGCTGCTGTGCAGCACGTACTCGGCACTAGCATAGACTGTGTGCGGGTTCAAGATCAGAGGTTTGTCAGGAGACCTGGTGTGAGTCCTGGAGATTATGGATAGAAGGCTATGCAAGCTTGACGGAGGTTTCCTTTGGCCGCTCAGCATGTGCCTGCAGCTGCAAAATACTTCGGAAGTGCACGTCCCACATCCGATTTGTTTCCTGCGTCGCAGCTGAGCTGCCGTGCCTCCGTGCTGTCAGCTGACTTAGCCGGTGTGGCGTAGCTCTCGAAGAAACTGGCAGCCTAGAACGATATGTGTGCAGACTGGAGAGAGCTTCCGCCTTGGAAACTATGCATCGATTTAACCATTCAGAGTGGGCAGCGGGGCTTTCGGCCAAAGGCTGAGCCGACCCCGCTCGCCCCTTGCATGGCGATTGGAGACCAATTTTCCTCTTGGCAGGTCTCGGAAATCCTGGGTGCTGCGGGTGACTTGAAGCTTGTCCTAAAGCGCGCCTTTGCGCATCTCGACACTCCTGTGCTGACTGAGCTCCTGAAGTGCCCTCGCCCGTGCGCCAGGATGTAGGTTGCTTCGACTGCCGACAACACGGGACCCAGGAGCTTGCAAGCAACATGGTATCTGGGCAGACGTTGGTGCTAGTAACGTCTTGTCACTCCACTTTACAGAGTCACTCGAATCAGTGCCGCTGGTACAGGAGTGCATCTTGGATATGGGCTGCAAAGTCATTCTACCTGAAGTATGCATCTAAACAATATCATCACCGACCTGCGCAAGCAAGCTACAGCAGCATCTGGTCCTGAAGCTGGAAGGCACAGCCTAGTATTGCAGCTAAGTTGTTGATGCTGCGACAAGCGAGAGGATCTTGATTTGGGATGCGCTCCGCCATTGGAACTTGGCAGTGTGCTTGCATATCCAAGCCGGATCAAGAAGAGCACTGGATAGCACTGGTCTGCACCATGATGCGAGCAGAATAGCCCTTGAGAGACAGCTGATAAGTGCCCGAGAAACTTAGGCCCGTCCCCATCTGTAGCTCACATGTTCACATATGATGTCTCTTGCTGGGTGCAGCTTCTACAAAGGCGACAGTCAAACACATGCGGAGCACTCTCGCGCAGTCATGGCCCTCTCCGTCCCTCAGTCCTTTCACACCTTAAACGAGGATTGGGCCCCGTACCTGAAGAAGCAACGCACTGGAACTGACGATTTGGGAATATCGGCTTCTTCGGGCCTTCATTCTTGGACTGTGAGATTATGGTGCGGTAGCCACCCTGCACTCGCAGCAGCCGCGGCCATGAGCGACCAGCTCGGAGCCCAGAGTGCCAGCGCCTGGTCATTTTCGGGTCACTCCCAGTCCAAAGCTTAGAACCTCCTTGCTTATCCAGGCAATTACATACAGCAGTCCTCGGGTGTGCGACAATCAGCCCCTGCGCAGACGATGTGCAGGTGTTTATTCTCAAGGGGTCGAAGACGGAGGGCTTCGTAACGCGAGGGCAATGAGTGAAAGGTCGAATGGCAATGAGTGAAAGGTCGAATCAGAACCGAGCCGGAGCCAAAAGCAGGACTCCTTTCCCAATGATCCAATCACTTGATGGCATTGACCGGTCCACCGAAAACTCCGCTGGCAAGTCTTTCTTGGTGTCCCCTGAGCTTGCTCCGAGGATGCTTCTGGAGGGCGGGCTCCTTACCATCAAGTGGAGCCGTACGGGCCATGACAAGCAAAGGCCGTGCTGGCCGCAAACTCGCTGGAGGCGAGCTGCTGCTGCTTGGGGGCGCCGGGCTCCTCCGCGTCTGGGGCTGCATGGCACAAGACCTGGCAACAAGGACGCGAAAGAGCACCGCGAGCCGCGGGCGTGCTTTTGCCTTTTCTTTTGACAACGAAGCTGCGCAGCTGCGAGTACCCGCTGCTGCGCTTGCTGCAAGTATGCCCGGGAAGTGGCCGAGCCAGAGCCTGAGCCTCTAAGCCTCGAAGCCTCTAAAGACTCTAAAGCTCGTGTCTGAGAGATCACCAGCGGTGTCACCAGTCGGGAAGCCTCAGGTGGTGGTCGAATCTGCTCTTGGTCGTCGCAGGCCACGCTGTGCGCCTCGAGTGAAAGGGGCTTCCAACAGGACTGAATTGACTTCTGTGTAAGGCCACCATGAAACTATTGACCTACAGCTCAAAGTCAAGCGGGCTCCAGTCTGGCGAGCTGTTTTCGCTGGGGGGCATGTAGGTCACTGTCTGCCATGCGCAATCATGCATAAGTCGAAAGACATGTTCTGAAGTTCCGCATGAAACTGTCAGGTGTGATTCTGCTGCTGGTCGCCATCTCCACGCTGCTGGGTGCACAGGAGCCCGTCCCCCGCAGTGGTACCTCCAGGATCTTCATGGTTCCTCCAGTCTTGGCACACCTATGTAAGCTTCCCAGGACGTAGGCTTCAACCTTTTGCTTGAGCTCGCTGCGTTGACCATCGTCCGCCGGTCTTGCTTTGAGAATGAATAGCAGCTGCTCTTCCAAACGGTTCTTTTCAGCTCGGACATGGACTTAATTGCCAGGTCCTCGTCATCGTGATGAGTGGCTTGGGATGGCAGGCCCCCGCGACAGCGGCACATTGATGCGTACGCGGCGATCTGAGCACCGTGCAAGCTCTTGCAGTCAGCCAGCGCTTTCGCAGCGGGAAGATGCTGGAAGACTATCCGCTGGCTTTGCTTGCCAGGGTGCCGAGAACGAGCAACAGAGGCCGTGAAATTGTCGACCGTGGGCCCATCTTGGTGCAGGAGTCAGCTAGAATCGAAACCCAGCGTAGATACCTGCGCTGTTCCAAAGCCTAAGTAGGCCCTACATCCCGGGCTCTGTTCCGTGGAAAAGCGTGCCGAGTCTAACGATAAGATACAAGCCAGAAACACCTGAAATCCCTAGACTAATCCAGAGATTTTAATGGGTGCAATTTCCAGCTTTCCTTGTGCCTCGTGTCAAGGTGTTATGATGATGACTATGGTTGATGCGAGGTTCATTGCTTACATGTACATAAATGTAGATGGGTCCATCTTCATCCATCCATCCAATCCAATCATATCATATCATATCCTACCCTATCCTACCCTACCCTGTCCTATCCCATCCTATCCTATCCCATCCCATCCCATCC